TAGTAGTAGTAGTAGTAGTAGTAGTAGTAGTAGTAGTAGCGGTGGTGGTGGTGGTAGTAAGTGGTGTATTAAATAGCTCCCAAAAAATGTTATAACGTGTTTGAAATAAGGAAAGGCAAGACGGATAAATAACCAGATTGTGACCGGCACTGTCAGTATTGGAACTCTGTGCTGGCTGTTGAAGATGAAGACGGAGCATGCATGGGAATGACCCGAGTGCTGTGTTGTCAATTCTTGACGCAACTCACCTCAACTGACTGTATAATCAAGGTCACTATCGGCGAATAAACTATAATCTTAATGTCATAATTACTTATTCTAACATAAGTCGACTATTCCGGGAACTTTCCGAAGCAACTTTGTATATCTTGTAAAATTCTAAATAGTGTTTACTACTGTTATGTTTTTGACGTTCAGAACAGATGTCTTTTGTTACAGTGACATAAACCACTCCAAGCCGCAGTCTGTGTTATGTATTGCAGGGGATTGTTAGCTGTACTTCGTTAGTTATTTGACATTTTCTAATTTCTTATTTGAAATTTGCCGTTGTTAATAGGCACGTAGTCGGCTCTATGGCTAAGTCGGTGCGAACGGTTCGTAATGCCGGATTGCCGGGTTCGATCCCAGCTGCGGGCCATGTGCCTTGCGTTGGTTTCGACAGTGGTATCAAGAAGCCGACCGTCCGAAAAGCAATGGCAAACTACTTGACGTAAATTTGCCTAGAGAAACCATTCAACAGCCAGGGGCTGTTGGGGTTGGTTCTGCATCGTCCTGTAAAGGATACGCAACTAACCTTTAATATGCACGTAGTCACCTGGAGGGCGAGGCTTCAATCCCTGAAGTGGCAATTAGCTTTCGATTTGTATGCTGTCTGCGCCTGTATCGGGGCGGGTGGTGTGGGGTGGGGGAGAGAAAACTGATTATTTTAAAAACTGAGGATTTAAAACCATAGTTCGTAGTTGGTCAACGAGATCGTGAAAATGTAGTTCAAGGAAGTTTAGGAGCACAACACGACTTCAGGCCAAGAGAAATCAATCATATTTACCACGCTTGACTACACACACATAAGCACCTGCCGGGAAGGTTCATACAGTTGACAGTTTATCTGGTCACAGCACGGCCATCCCTTAGAGAATACAGTACAAATCCCTAAAATGAGTTTGAAACTAGAAACTATGTTTGACTGATACCTGGAGATTTGAAAAAACACGGTAAGTTGTGAATTTTGCTTACATATTCATTGTTAGAATTCTTGTATTTATTACATAGTGATGTAACACTGTCTGGTTAGTTGCGTATCCTTTACAGGACGTTGCATTACCAACCCCAACAGCCCCTGGTGGTTGTGTGGTTTTTCTAGGTAAATTTACGTCAAGTATTTTGCCATTGCTCACTGGACGGTCGGCTTCTTTGATAACACTGCCAAAACCAACGCAAGGCGCATGGCCCGCAGCTGGGATCGAACCCGGCATCTCGGCATTAGGAAGCGCTCGCATCCACTTAGCCACAGAGCCGACATGCAACACTGTAGTAATACTATTTAACTGTCGGCCAGCGTACCGTATCCTGTCTGCAGAGGCCTAGCAAGTGGCTCACAGATCATTGCCAGTTGTACTGTATTAATAATCTTTCTGCATAAATTACTTCTATGGTTGATCTTGTGAAGGATACGCCACCCACTAGCCATGCATTTGGGGAAGGGCAACTAAGATGTATAACGCAGATGTTGTGAAGGCTGGCTTAGATCAATTAGACAGTGCAAACGAACAAACAGATTCCATAAACCGAAACGGCTGAACAGAAGTTCTAGAAATATTCAACACTGATGAGGAAACATAGGCAGGCTGTTAATCAGGTTGCACCTGGAGCTATTAGCATGTCAACTTTTCTGTGGCCACTGAAGAAGGAGACGGAGAAAGTGCGTTGGGAATGCCCCGACTACAGTGATGTCAATTCTTGATTTGTTCAATCCCCGTGTGGGTTCTGGTGCCCTTTTATAGGGAAAACAAGAATAGACCCACTACCTATCCAAACGATAGTCGTAAAAGTCGACTAATTGGAAGCTTCCTTCAAAGTCGGAATGCATCAGCCAGAGGGGCAAGGAACCAGCAGTCTGCATACAAATGAGTCAAATATGTAAAACGGATGCAGACGCAACACTCAGGTTGTGGAACAGGACTGCAGTCCAGAAGTAGATGAACAACCAGAACTTTCCGTCAGGGTTTACAGATTGTGAACGCGAAGAATAGGCGAACAAGAGGCAGACAGCGTTACAAGTGGGAGGATAACATCAAGAGATGGACGAACAGCAGTATGAGTGAGTGTACATCAAGGGCAAGAGACAGGGCTTGTTGGAGATCCATTGCAGCCAACCTTCATTGTGGAGACGGCACCTGATTGATTGATTGAACGCGAAGAAGAAGAAGAATGTTCCCAGCATAGCAGAAATAATCCAGTGCACTGAAATTTTGTTTATGCATCTACTTCAGTTTAATATGTTGAGTGTCCGTCATGGCTGAGAATGCATTTCTTAGTTTTCTACTTGTGCGCTGACCTTTAAAAGATGCTTTTTTTTATATGATTTAAAGCAGAGGTTCTCAACTTATGGGTCTCGACCCTTGTGTGGGTCGAACTATCCTTTCACATGGGTCACCAAAGACCATCTAAAAATACATATTTATTGAAGTTATGAAGTAGCAACGAAGATAATTTTATGGTTGGGGGTAGCCACAACACCAGGAACTGTATTAAAAGGTCGCGGCGTTAAGAAGGTTATGAACCAATGGTCTGAAGGATGGTTGGCACTTTGTGTTGTGGCTTACAGCAAGACTGCGATGTATGCAACTTTTGCCCAACACTTCCGATTTCAGCAAACTATCCACCACCCCCACCCCTTTTTTCCCCCTTTTTACTCCCCCTCCCCTCCCCACTCCAAATTTCAATGCGTATTATGGTAATTATGTCTATTTCTCCCCATAAGAGACCAACTCCTGATAACCTTCCATTTTGTACGATGTAAACAATTGTCTATTTTCACAGTATCTTTAAAGAATTCAAATACTTGATCTCTTTTCTGTCCGGTTTATTCAGTGCATTACTGCGCAAACACAACACTCACCACGTTTAGTTCTGACTAAAGCGAACAGTAGTATGGTGTTCTGAAATACCACATTGTATGATTTTCTGTTCTACTCAGTCGTCAACACTTTACAAATTAATGTTCATAACCACACAAATTTTGTATCATGGCTGATATCGGAATATCAAAAGACATAAGCATCGATGAATTTAAAAAAAAGTGTTTTTACAGAGAGCCGTAGTTTTGTCGAAATAAATTACATTAACACACATGTGTCAATTATGAAGTAGTAGTAGTAGCAGCAGCAGCAGCAGCAGTAGTAGTAGTAGTAGTAGTAGTAGTAGTAGTAGTAGTAGTAGTAGTGGTGGCGGTGGTGGTGGTAGTGGTAGTAGTAGTAGTAGTAGTAGTAGTAGTAGTAGTAGTAGTAGTAGCAGCAGTAGTAGTAGTAGTAGTAGTAGTAGTAGTAGTAGTAGTAGTAGTAGTAGTAGTAGTAGTAGTAGTAGTAGTAGTAGTAGTAGTAGTAGTAGTAGTAGTAGTAGTAATTCAAACAACAACACACGGTTCAATTCAACCCTTTTGGTATATAGTTGGGATGTCAAGGTTTTTTCACTTCAGTGTTTGATATCTATGCTTATCATTTCTTCTTCTTCTTCTCCTTCTTCTTCTCCTTTATCTTCTTGTTCTTCTTCTTCTTCTTCTTCTTCTTCTTCTTCTTCTTCTTCTTCTTCTTCTTCTTCTTCTTCTTCTTCTTCTTCTTCTTCTTCTTCTTCTTCTTCTTCTTCTTCTTCTTCTTCTTCATCTTTTTCTTCATCTTTTTCTACTTCGTCTTCTTCTTCGCCGGCTGTAAAGTACAGCCAAATATTCTGGTTGTTCGCCCACTTCTGGACGCTGGTCTTGTTCCAAAACTTGAACTTATAGTCAGACTGATACTGGTGCTATCGGAATTGGAACTCTGCGCTTGCTGATGAAGATAAGGATGGAGCGCTTATGTGAATGTCCTCAAGGTTGCTATGTTGATTCTTAATTCATCTTTCTTTATTCAACATTGAAGAACTTGAGTTTTTCATGCACATCCGTTTTACGGATCGGGCTTTTTAAAGGCGCACTGTTAGTTTCTTACTTCCCAGGCAGATAAACTCAAAACAAAAACATTCCTAATTTTTCGAATTTTACGGCATGCTTGTTGGGGGCAGTTGTCTTTTTATTCAGTATGGATTATTATGACAAATTCATTAGTAATCACTATCATCATTCTTTCGTCATGTCATTTGTAATGCCACATAGGGCTCACAGTCTATTCCACCAGTTCAGTATATCCTGTACAAGCTTACCGATATCATGTATGGAATGTAATCCAGCCCATCCTCAGCGTTCATTTAAGGCAGTGGCTCTCAACTCTTTTTTTTTGGGTCGAATGACCCTTTCGCATGGGTCGCCTAAGACCATCGGAAAACACATGTTTATTGAAGTTATGAAGGAAAATAATTGTTTGTGGGTCGACACAACATGAGGGGACTGTATTAAAGGGTCGACACAACATGAGGGAACTGTATTAAAGGGTCGACACAACATGAGGGAACTGTATTAAAGGGTCGACACAACATGAGGGAACTGTATTAAAGGGTCGACACAACATGAGGGAACTGTATTAAAGGGTCGACACAACATGAGGGAACTGTATTAAAGGGTCGCGCCATTGGGAAGGTTGAGAGCCAGTGGTTTAAGGGTTTTTCTTTAAAGTCCTAGTTGGTTTGGCAAGGAAACACGAAGGGAAAATCAAATCGGGAAGAAAATCTGATATTTCAACAAAATCAGAAAGTCCTACAGAGGATTTCAATGTCTTTGTCTGTTGATTCACACCCCTCCCCCTTCATATTAACTCACAAACACCTGTACAACAGAAAGAGTATATGTAGGACGAATGAGTGTTGGATATTATTTCCTATTGGATGGGGAACGCCCAGTATATGAAGATTCACTTCTCTGTGATTAATCTCTTGCCATAAACGTGCCCCTGCCTAGTGCGGAAAAAGAAAAAAAAACTAGATTTTTTTTTAAATTCACAGTATTATGAGAAGGCGAAAATTATTAAATGAAAAGACGGAGACATCAGTAATTCTGAAAAGGAAACAATTAAAAAACATTATATTCGCTTTTGAGTCAACTAGTATGAGTCCTAAAAAATTAATGCATTCCAGTGGCAAGACATTAACGTGGCTGCTTCTGGGTTCGTCAGTTAAGTGGTTTTGTGCATTCATGTGGTTTTGTTTGATTTATGTATGTGCTGATGAAAGCTATGTAGCCGTAACGTCTACTTTTCGTTTGTTTTTCTTATACTGTGGAGCTCTCTGATCTTTTTTTTTTAAAGTTTGGTTTTATATCTTTCCTAGAAGTAAAAAGTGATCGGTCATGTCGCTTGTCTCGTGACCCGAGGTTCATGGGTTCTTTGCAATGGGACATGGTTCAGTTCAGAAATGCTGTTTTTACAGAGACGCTTGAGAATCAGAGGTCTACGGAGTTCATGCTCTGTGCAGCGCTCTCGACAGGGAGTGAGCCATGTCTGTGATACAGACCAAGCCATATGAGATAACTCGCAATAGAGTCAATAAAGTATAAAATTACGAATTCCCTTATCTTTCCTTCTTTTGTTATGTAATCTCTTCTTCTTTTTCTTATTCCCCTGTCCCTTCTTATGCTTCTTCTCGTTCTTTTTCTTCATCATCTTCTTCTCCTCCTCTTCCTTCTCCTCCTCTTCCTTCTCCTCCTCGTATAGCTCATCCTCCTCCTTGTTTTCTTAGATATTATTATTACACAGTTGGTCACAATCTTGAATTCAATATATTACCCAGTTGGAACACCATACTTTTATGGTGCATAATACAACTGTCTGCGAAAGTAAATTATTGTATCTCGTATCGAATCAAAGACAGCCCAGCCACATTCATATTTAAATAAGAATATTCACAAGCAGTGTAGAGGAATCCCTGAGATTCACAATGTATAAGCAAAACTTATAGCACTGTACAAGGAAGCCGAAATAATCGTATATGGATCCAAGTCAACATAGCGATCTGTAACATCGTTCTATTCAAAATGTCTCACTGTCACAACTTACAGACAGGGCTGTCGAAGGTGGTGCTTTCGTACACATTTAGCACTACTTGACCCTTGGTAAGCCAGTTTTAAATATGTATGTGTGTGTGTGTGTGTGTGTGTGTGTGTGTGTGTGTGTGTCTGTGTTTAAAGACGGTTTAGCGATTTTCAATTACAAAGTAAACAGTTTTACCTTTTGCTATATTTTTGTACCTCCCAACCCCATTCCCGCCCCCACAATTAACTATTTCCAAAACAGTTTCGGCAGCCGTGTTCATCAATAAAATCAACTTATTTGCCCAACACCGTTAATCTATTAAGTTTATGTTAGTTAGGCGGTACAAGTGCAGTCATTATAGCGTGTGCTATTTCTGTATCTGGAATTAAGAATGAAGGTTTAACTGAAGCTAAAACTAGCAGTGTGTGTAACCATGAACTTATAACCATGAACTTACTGTCAAATGATTAAATGACCTGAGCCTGAACCGATTACGCAACCCTCACACATGGCGAGGAACTCTTGTAGTGAGGTCATCATTATCAATATTTATGTATTGATTTGTGCTCAGAGTTGCAGCGGCAAAGCAGCGATTTTGTAAATAGTGATATAGAAAGTATGTGTTGATATTTAATAATTTATAGTGTTTTTACTGATGAATAGGCATATTCTAAATTGTACTAGAAGTTATAGTGTTATACAAATTAAAGTTGTGCTGCTATTAATACTATTGTGCCTTTATTACTGCAGTAAAGTTTCAGTTTCTTCATTAAGGAACATCAAGGTTTGTCTGCTTTGTAAGTGCTCCAGAACATACAGTGGGCCCTATTCCTAGGTTGTTGCGTATCCTTTACGTATCCGTTGCAGAACCAACCCCAACAGCTCCTGGCTGTTGTGTTGTTTTTATATGCAAATTTACGTCCAGTAGTTTGTTATTGCTCTCTGGACGGTCGGCTTTCTTGATACCACTGTCGAAACCAACGCAAGGCGCATGGCCCGCAGCTGGGATCGAACCCGGCATCCCTACATTACGAAGCGTTCGCATCGACTTAGACACAGAGCCGACGGGCGTTTTCCTACTTTGAGATAAATTCGGTATATAATGCAAGTCTTTCGGAAGAGTTCCCAAGTCTGATATTTTTATAGATTAAAAGGTAGAACATGCAAGACAAGGTGAATATCGTCCACGTCGACTTTGCTTCCTATAACATTTTCTAGTGTCTATTTTAGACTGAGTGTATATGGAAGTTTAGGTCCTTTTTATTTTAAAGACATTCCAATCTAGATTTGGGATTGGAACTCTTGACCTCGCACGTTCAAGTAAGCATATTAGTAGTTACAGTGTATACATTGAAATGTCTTGGGAAAACCCTACGTTTTGTCTACACTATAAGTAACACAACTGCCAACCGTCCTTCACCAATGTTAGAATATTTACTTACCTTAAATGACCTCATATCATAGGCCCCAGAACCTGGTGGCTCAGATCCCTTGAGCCGCTTAATTTAAGGCCCCCTGTCTCCTTCCCCAAATTAGGGGGAGGGGGGGGGGGCTGGACCTTTGGACCCTGCCCTGAAGAAATTATTTGCAGAAGTTCAAGCAGCCTTCATGCATATATATATATATGTGTGTGTGTGTGTGTGTATGAATAAAAGTAAAGGTCCCTTTTCCACACCTTAGGCGTATTGGGAATATAGGGCTAGACCTTTTTATAGACCAGTAGGCATTTTGTGGGTAATGTGGTCAGCATACGCCGGCCACCTTTACTTCCCAGGACTCCAAGCAGACAGTTATGTGTTATTTAAAATACATCAAATATATATGCAAATATTGGTTTTTAATTGCAGGACAACACTTGCTTTGCACAAGGAGAAAATTATCTTTTAATCATTTGTGCAAATTTCTTGTTACCACATTGTATCACCAGTTTTAACAGAAGATAAGAATGTTAAGATAATGAAATGAAATCAGCAGTGAGGGACTTTAAAATTCAATAACAAACATAGGAAGCTGCAATCCTAAAAAAGTAAAGACTTGATGTAAAGCTTTCAAGCAGCTACTATATGTTGAGGTATGTTATTTTAATCAATGTCACTGCACATTAGGCTTCCCATGCCTGCTCATTCTTCTGCAGCAGCTACTCAATGGTGCCTCTTCTGACTGTTCCCATGAGAAGTTAGATAAAGTATTTCCTATCTTCACCTCAAAGACGGCAAAGCTGTGCTTCACCAAGCCTTACTCTCAGGTCATGCAATCTGGTAGCTATGATAAAAGAGGCTTTCACAGATTGCTATCAAAACGAGGCGTTGAGTACACAGTTTAGTGATGGTATATTTGGAGTCAACACCACATCCGACATTTTTGATGGAAAGCTGACTACAGACTTAAATATTTATATCGAATCAAGTGACCAGGACAGATGTTCTTTGGCTCCAAACACCTGCAGAGCTGAAAAAGTATCTCAACAGACAAGTAAAAATCACTCACCGATTTCTTGTGGCAGACAGTCTCTGGATAGAAGTTCATCACAGAAAATGGGAAGTGTTGATGAAGCTGATGAAGATTTTGGTAAGATTTGGTAAAGTTTAATATTTGAAAAATACTTTTTAGAAATCACTTATAAATAATGAGATGAATGCTTTATATGATGTGATTGAGTTTAATATTGTATTTGAATAGATTTTAGAAATCATCCAGAGGCTATGGGATTTTAGTAAAATAGGATTAGGTTTAATATTTCTGTTTGAACAAGCTTCAAATATCACGCAATAGTTATGGAATTTGGGTAAGGTGTGGATAAATTAAATATGTTTGGTCGAACAAGCTTTAGATGTCATCTTCTTCTTCTTTGCCTTCACCAGCTGTACACTCTGGCGGAAAGTTCTGGTTGCTCGTCCATTACTGAACTGCAGTCCTGCTCCAGAACCTGAGTGTTGCGTGTGCATCAGTTTTACAGATCTCATTCTCTTGAATACAGACTGTTGGTTCCTTGCCTCTCCGGCAGATGCACTCTGACTTCAAAGAAAGCTCCCCAATTTGTCAACTCTTACGACATGCTTTTGGGGAGGCAGTGGGTCTATTCTTGTTTTCCCCACAATGGGGCCCCGGAACCCACACGGGGGAGATGTCATCTGTGTGCTGTGAAGTTTGGTAAGATGTGGGTAAGTTTAACGTTTTTAGTCGGATAAGTTTAAATACCTCCTTCATGTAATCAGGGCCCTTAAAGGAAGTAAATGATGTTTAATGATGAAATAAATCAATTTAATTTAACTGAGCTTAAATCCATATGGCTCAGTTGCTCTGCTGGCCACCTGCTGATACTGTTGTACAAAGTAGGAGCTCTTGCTCTAGCAATGATCAGATCAATATAATTTTTTTCCCATTTTCCCCTCTGGAATTTCCCATAGAAAGATTGATACCCAGTGCCAATTTTTTAAATTATCCATGGGCAGAGAGGCTTGGAATGTAATGATTGTTCAGGTCTGCTCCAGATTAGGTTCTTGAAAAATTTTGTAGAATCTTTTGTGAGAGGAATAAAAAAATGATAAAAATATTTTTTTCCTAATAAAATCAGCCCACGGCAGGTGGTGTGGTCATAGTTGTTACCTCTTTTTTAAAAAAAAAGCTTTAATTCACACTTGACTTGAAGTCTTAGCGATGTATATATGCATGTACACATGTGTTTATTTTGATTTACAACACATATCTTGTTATCCATACAGTACCAAATTGTCTTATTAGCAAAGATTGCTTCAGAGGTACGGGTAGTTGGCTACCTTTGGATATTTTCTCGAGTGTATGGCAGTGTGTTAGTTAATAAACAGGAAGATGTACTGGCTGATGCTGCATCACCTGATGAGGAATTGATATGCATGACCAATTAGATGCTGTAAGGGTTCTTTGGGTGTGAAGGAATAGGGCAGAAGCACAATTAGGTCATCACAGTCTGAGGATAATGATGTTGCGAGAAGTCACCAGGGAATCTGGCCGATGCTATAGGGAGAGGCTATTAGTGGTGACATCAAAATTAGAACTCTATGCTTGCTGCTGAAGATGTGGATGGAACGCTTATGGCAGGGTCAGATTTAAACTTGGTGATATATATATATATATATATATATGTATATACCGGGAAGGCTAACCCAGTCAACAAATGCCCGCAGAAGTCGGATGTGCTGGCTGAAAGGTGCAAATATCGCAGCCATGCTGTAAACAGACACAACACAATAACATCTTCGGATGAACGCAGAAGAAGATATATGTATATATATATATATATTAAACCCTGCGGCCATTACTGTTTTAAATTATACCAGTTAATCTCATAAAACTTAAAAACATACACATCTTTTAAATACAGGGATGAAGGAAATATATTGTCGTTTAATTTTTAGTCATCATCATCATCATAAACCACTTATGCCATTAAGCATTGTAGGGAGGAATAATTTGCAATCCAGTGCATGCTGGCTGCCACTGGCTATTGTCATGCCCTGAAGGCGTAGAGTGTCTTTAATGTTGTCGATCCCTTCTTTTATGGCAGTCCTCTTGCTCTTGTAGCTTATCTTCTGAGATTTAGTGCTTGTGATGGTATTTGATCTTGCCGCATTCTGACGAGATGGCCAAACCACTTGATCTGCTGTTTTTGATGAAACTAGTACAAGGTGTCGTTCCCACAATTTGTCTGATAGTATCATTATTCACTCGATCTCGGATGGTTAGGTTGGCTGCTTTTCTCAGGCATCTCATCTCGCAGGTGGTGATTTTGCATATGTGGGCTTTAGATAGTGTCCGTGTTTGGCACTGGAAGCTTAATGTTGGAATGAATATGCTATTAATAATCTGTCTCTTTGCACTCATAGATATGCTTGGATGTCTTAATAATGGTGACAATTGGTATATAAGTGCACTTGCTTTCTGAGATCTGGTTTCAATTTCTCTGTCGATTCTACCATCTTCCATGATCATGCTTCCTAGATATTTAAACTCCCTAACTTGATTCAGAGCAGAACCATTCAACTGTGTGTGTAGTGGGGCAGGGGTTCTACTAACTTGCATTGTTTCGGTTTTGTTTGCATTGATCTTCATGTTGTATTTACTGCATGCTGAGTTTAACCTGTAGTCTTGCAGTCTATCTTCTTCAGGGTAGAACAAGCACAGGTCATCAGAAAATAGTATAATGTTTAGTAAAAGAAGTAATAAAGAATGTGTCTGCAAAATCACAGAAATTATATTATATAAGCCTCTTAAAGGTTGTACTAAAAAGAAAACTGCATTTGTGAACACAAGATAGGAATTTGTTGAGGCCTCTGCAGACGGAGGCTTTAAACTGCGGCAAAGTTATCTCAAGTCTAAATCCATCACAGGGAATGACCTGAGGGCAATGATGTCTATGTTTAATTCAACATTCAACTCATATGAAATTCTTTGTGAACAGGTATTTATGCTGAAAGTTTCCGTCGCTCAAACTGGGTACACAAAAGCCACGATGGCAAACTGGAACTGACGTTGTCTTCGCAGCAGCAGTTATCATCATTTGGTAACAATGACAGCGACAGCATGGAGGGAGAGGATCCGGTCAGTCCCACAGGTGAATAATGCAATAGTTTGAATACATTTATGTCTCTAAAGATTACAGTATTGATAAGTTTCTGGATTCAAACACCATCTTTCCTGTGTCGGATCGAATGCCCCATTTTCTTTGGCAAAATACTCAAACTACTGCCCCTTAGCAATCATGTTGTAAGGGTGACTAATTAACTCTTTCAGGCCCATGAATTTTGACAGACTTGGCCCACATTAATTTCCCTTTACAAAAATGGCAGAAGGGTGCGTGTACAAGAAAGGCAATAGAGAATGTAACATACATCTAATCCCCCCAAAAAGTATATATTTTTTTAAAGAGAAATGAATGTAAATTTTGAATGTAATGATAAGTGTATGTTTAAATTGTTTATAGTTAGTAGGAAAAAAGAATTTAGCAGGTGTCAATTTCACAATAACAACATTTTACAAATAAATTCTTCACTTACCATGATTTTGCAGCCACAAGAGTAGTGAATATCCACATTTGAGAACAAAACTTCAAAGTTTGTTCAATTTTCTAACAAATTCTGAAGTTATGATAAGTTTTTGGGTTAGTTTAGCAGTTAGGGGCTCTTAGTTCTTACAGAGTTCTGAGCAAAGTTTGAAAGAAAAAATTGCAGAAAAATGAGCTATTACACACACACTGTTTACTATTTACTTTGTACAGTTATATACAGACTTTAGCTGCGATGATTTCAATGTAGCTTACCCACGACAACTCCCAATAGATGTAGCTGAAAGGAGTTCAGCAGAGTGACTTTCCCTGAATAGTTTAATCGTACTTCCGAACATTAGAAACAAGTACGGAGCCCTGTGGGAAGCAAAATTTACGGGCCACACGATCGACGATGACAGCGTTGTTTGGGCAAAACGGAACTTCTCAATCAATGCTCACACCTTTGCTCAGGCCTTAAAGAGTTGAAGGTTTGCCTAAATTGGATGTGTTGGGCTGAAATGCACAGATATTGCTAACTAGCTGTAAACCACAACACAGCAGGCCACCTGCCCTTTTAAAGAGGCGGTGCAGAATAAAAGTAAAAAAAAAATGAAGAAGAAGAAGAAGTAGAAGAACAAGAAGAAGAAGCAGCAGAAGAAGAAGTAGCAGAAGAAGAAGAACAAGAAGAAGAAGTAGCAGAAGAAGAAGAACAAGAAGAAGAAGTAGCAGAAGAAGAAGTAGGAGAAGAAGAAGCAGCAGAAGAAGAAGTAGCAGAAGAAGAAGCAGCAGCAGCAGAAAAAGAAGAAGAAAAACAAGAAGAAGAAGCAGCAGCAGCAGAAGAAGAAGAACAAGAAGAAGAAGTAGAAGAAGAAGAAGCAGCAGAAGAAGAAGAACAAGAAGAAGAAGTAGAAGAAGAAGAAGCAGCAGAAGAAGAAGAACAAGAAGAAGAAGTAGCAGAAGAAGAAGAACAAGAAGAAGAAGTAGAAGAAGAAGAAGCAGCAGAAGAAGAAGAAGAAGTAGAAGAAGAAGAAGCAGCAGAAGAAGAAGAACAAGAAGAAGAAGTAACAGAAGAAGAAGAACAAGAAGAATAAGTAGCAGAAGAAGAAAAAACAAGAAGAAGAAGAAGAAGAAGAAGAAGCAGCAGAAGAAGAAGTAGAAGAAGAAGCAGCAAAAGAAGAAAAACAAGAAGAAGCAGCAGAAGAAGAAAAAGAAGAAAAGCACCAACATATGTTCACTTTGAAAGCATCCATTACTACTTTGCTTTCTTTATATCACACTAGGAGAACTTCAGCTCAGTGCTCAGATGCCACAGCATCAACAAGGACCCCATTTCACATTATGCCAGAGTTCTCTTGCACTATAAATGTAGCATATGAGTTTTCACCGCTGTAGGAGGGTCTTCTATTCTGAATTCTTTGCTCAGAATGTGACTGATATGGCCTGGCATTAACACTTTCTAACTTTAAGAGATTTTAAGCACAGTACTAGGACTATAGAAAAAATGAAATTAGAAAAAAAAAAGATAATTTTTGAAGACAAATTTGAAACTGAGCAGATTTAAGTATTGTGCCAGTAATAGAACCGTTCTTTTTAAAGGACATAATCAAATATTTTTTTAAGTGCACAGATTTTTGTGACAAACTGTTGTTTTCGGTACCTCTAGGTTATGCATTTACTGCACATGTATGATTCTCGATTGTGCCAGGACAAATCTAATTATTCTCTAGTTTTCAAATGGACAAGCAAGTGGCAATGTTTTGTGATTTTTCACTGGCACTTCTGGAGCTGTTTTGGGGTAATCTGCTTGCAGTGAATGACCGAAAAGTGTGCAAATATTTTTATAACAAGTAAAGTATGCTTCTTCTTCTTCTTCTTCTTCTTCTTCTTCTTCTTCTTCTCCTCACTCAACAGCTGTAAACTCTGGCAGAAAATTCTGGGTTCGTCCACCTCCTATGTTAGTCTTGTTCCGGAACCTGACTTTTACGTGCACATTCATTTCACAGCACATTCATTCGCACAGTGTGAACAACAGACAACAAACTGGTCAGCAGATGTCTTGTGGATCTCCTGGGGAAGTAAAGACGGCCCACCTAATACTGACCACATTACCCACTTAGTGACGATTGGTCTGTAAAAATATACGTGCTCTTCCCATATGCACGATGCGCCTAAAAGATGTGAAAAGGGATGTTTACTTTTTTACTTACTTTTATCCATTTCACATATGTGGTTTATTTGTATGCCTCCCAGGCAGATGTACTGCGACTTTGTGAAGGAAATGCCAAGTTAGTCGACTCCTATGACATGCTTGATTGGGGATGCATAGGGTCTATTGTTGTTTTCCCCCCACAGTGGACCCCCGAAACACAAACAGGGAAAAGCAAATATATGAATCTCATGTTATAAAGGTTGTATTCAATTATTAGAGAATGTTGTTTTTGTTCCATTAAAAAAAATTAGTTAATAATACAGGTTTTGTTTTTAATCCATCAGCTGATGACGTGTTCTGTGATCCACTTTCTCACGTGGTTTCTCCTACTGAATCAACAAACAAAAACTCAGAGGCAGCGTTGAAACATCGTTTCATGTCTCGTCATAAATGTTTGATCCAGCGAGCTGACAGCCAGCAGGAGTACCACAGACTGTCAACCAGAGTCTATGGTAGGTCATCATCGTCATGTGCTGCATTGCTAAGCTGGATGGTTGTGGTTCCCTGTCTCCCAGAATCAAAGATCATGTATGTGTTCTTGTCTCACTCTTCATGTTTCACCTGGGTCTCCTTGGCGAAGTGGGGAAGACATATGATTGTGCTCTGAAGGTCGTTGGTTCGTTTTGTGGCTGCATCATTTGGTTTATGGCTACATTTTCAGTGTTGCCACTTTTTATTTGACAAAAACATCTAAAGTGGGGTCAAAAACTATCTAGCATGGAAAACATCTAGAAAAAACATCCAAATGGAAAGAGTCACAAATTACATAGCAATAGATACGACTAACCTTATAGAATCATGTCCTCATCTTTACTTAAGTTTGCCTTACAAGATCCAAAGGATAAACTTAGCTTGGATGATAAAGTTGAAGCTTCAGATCTGATATGCTTTAGCTGTTCCAATTTCTTTTAATACCCAATCAGGGAGCTGATAAGTGGAACAGCCTTTTCATTCTCTTATCAGGCAAAATTTTATTGTCAAGATAGCATTTAAGAGGTCAAATTTCATCCTGTTTCTTAGGTTAGATTTGATAAATTCACTCCAAATAAAAAAATTCTAAAAAAACATCTACCATCTAAACGTCAAAAATGCCATCTAAATGCAAAGGATAACATCTAAATCTGGATGTAAAACATCCAAAGTGGCAACACTGTACATTGTTAATAGGGATCCCTGGAGATTGTATCCACAATATAATCAAATGGCGTTTGTGCTTCATGGGAAGCTCTTGGCAAATGGCAAGCCATTTTGGATCAAACTTGGTGAAATGAAGTTTATCCCCTTGACTTTAATTTTTATCTCACTCTTATCATGCCATCAAATTATTTATATCTTTTGTCTTTCTTTTGCTCTTCTTCCATCAAAATTGCCACTTGTCTAGTTGCCATCTGTGGCTTAGGCATTGCGAACACGCTTCATAATGTTGGGGTACCGGGTTCAATCCCTGCTGCGGATTATTTGTCTGCGATGGTTTCGACCATGGTACTGAGAGCCGACCGTCTAGAAATGGCAAACTACTGGATGTAAATTTACCTAGAAAAAGCACAACAGCCAGAAAGTGCTGTGGTTGGTTGTGCAACGTCCTGTAAAGGATACGCAACAAACAACAAAAAAGGATTATGTCTACTCACTAATCTCCAGCAATTGTAGGCCTCATTTGTCTGATTAGTTTAGGGGTTTATTCTGTTTCGTGGACTGTGGGATCTATTTTTCTGTCAGCCTATAATAATCTTTGCATTGGTAGCTAATGCTTTTTCTGCCTTCTGTCCCCAAGGGAACATAAGAGCTCAGCCAACTGCTGACAGCTTGTTCTATCCTTCACTGTTGCGTGCAGCTCACCCCAGTTTTAACTTCACTGTCTAATTCCCTTCTCTATGTGTATTTTGTCTGCCTCTACTTCTATGCCACTGTAGGTTCTAGTGCAAATACATTCTAGCTATATTGTTCTCAGGTTTTCTCAGCATGTGTCCTATCCAATGCCAGCGTCTTTTCTTCGCCTTTTTGTCCACTAGAACTTATTTAGTTCTCTCCCACAGCTCAACAGTCTGGATTATATCATACCATTTAATTTACCCTGTTCTGCGCAGGCACCAGTTAATGAATGTCTGTAGTTGATTAGTAATAGTTGTTCATGTTTTTACTCCATGCAGCTGCACTGATTTGACATTACAATTAAAAATTGTAAGTTTAGTATTACTTTTAATTTCTTTTTTGACCTCCACAAATTTCCTAGGACAATGAAAGCTTCTCTTGCCTTTTGTATTCATATTTTAATATCTCTATCAGTTCCCCCATCATTATCTACATTTCTGCTCGAAATGGTGAATGACTCCGCATCTTGGAGTTTTGTGACTTTTGTTTTTACAGAATGAGGTAGCCAACCCCAAGCTCAACTCTACCCTCTTATGACAATCCTGGTAGGGTGGAGTGTTACTATTCTTAACTTCCTGTGAGGGCCCCAGTAAGACTCAGGCAAGGTAGAAAAGGTAGTTTAGAAGAATAAAAAATAAGATCGATGTTACAGTAAACTGCATATAGCATGCAAACCAAAGACTAAACTGTACGGCCATACAGTTAAACGCCTAAACCATATATGCTGACACAGTTCAATAGCTGCTCTTAAAGTCTATTGAACTTGACATTCTATACTACGATCTTTTACAGTTAAAACATACGCTATGCAGAAAAATGATGAAACTAAACTGGGATTAATTCAACAGAAGTGAAGAAATAAGAGAAAGGTCTGGGCAACCACTAGTATCAACAGTTATAAAGACAGAGAGAGATTACATTGGACATATCCTAAGAAGAAACCAATAGAGAATCACCAAACAGGCATTAAAATAAGAAATAAAGGGATTAAGGAGGCTGGCTAGGACACCCAAAAGAAACCCTAAGGCGAAGGTAGATGAGGGAGGGCAAAGCCATAATATTGAACTAATCACACAGGATAGACCGGAATGGAGGAAAATACTGTCAGCCCTATGTGACATAAAATGGCACAACAGGATAATGAATGAATATACATAAACTTTGCAATATTGAATAATCTGAATTGAATAAACAGTGATAGGCATCAATATCAGTTACTGACATAGAAAAAAACTACACAAACATGCACGCATGCATGCGAGCGCGCAGAAACACAAACAGTACAGTTACATCCCAGGTAGATTGAACAGGATATTGTTGTTTACATTTTAGAAATCTGGAAATCCAACAGTTACTGCAGAGGAACAAAACTCCAATCTAAAAGAGCATCAGTTTGCCAGTTCTTCTTTATGGAGCAGAATGCTGGAGAATCACCAAAAAGGATGCACTCAAGCTTCCACCAAATATGTCTGTGTAGACTTATCAAAATTTTCTGGCTAGATGCAGTCTTAAACATTAAACTACTTCAAGTCACAAACCAAGAAACTCTAGATAGCATACCAAAGTGAAGATGAAAATGGCTTAGCCTAGTTATGAGAATAAATCCTGATATACCTGCCAAAAACACCCTGCATTTGGACACCACAGTGAAAGAGAAAGAAGACAACATGCACTGAAGATTGCACAGGACAGGAAGGCATGGAAAGTCCTCTCTGAAGCCTCATGTGCCACTAGGCATAAAGATAACTGACTGACTGATTTAGTTATGCGTTGAACGGGGCTTCTGGGATTGGTACCTGTTTCATTCTCTTCCTTGAGATGGTAATCCTACAGGCTGTAAATCTGGAAGGGAATGAATGAACAAGTGAATCAAGAATGGACATCACTGCACTCGGGACATTCCCACATGTGCTCCGTTACAGCCAACAAAATGTTTATCATGCTAACGGTAACAGTTGCTACCTAATTAAAGGTTCACCTGTATTTCTCCCGCAGTGTTGAATGTCTTCCAGAACCTCTGCTCAGCCCACTGGGAAAGGTCACGTGAGCAAACTTTGGATCTTTTCTCCAGGCCATACTGGCATGGTGGGTAATGAACAGACAGATTGGCTGGATCCACATCACTGGGTGGGGAATTGATACATGACAAGGCAGATGCGGTCAAGGCGCTTTGGGAACAAGCAACAGAATCAGTAGAGAAAAAAATTATAATGACCTTGAGAGAATGAGGCATCTGGGTGTAACCAGAAGGTCTGGCTGGCTCACTACACTCAGAGGAAAGGCAAGATGGACATATAACCAGATTGTGACCGGTACCATCAGTATTGGAACTCTGCACTGGCTGTTGAAGATGAGGATGGAACATACATGGGAATGTCCCGAGTGCTGTGATGTCAATTCTTGACTTAACTCAACTCTGCTCAGCACCCGTTGAATTAGTCTTTCAATGTGTGGATTCTGTGTCTGTTGTGTTGCACTGTTTATTTGATCCCTGAGAGCCTTCAATACTTCTGCTCTATCATAAAGAAGCTGTGTGTCTGGACGGGACAAATTTAGACAAAGAAAAAAAGATTACTGTTTACTTACGTGCAATATGATCTTTTAGATCATGACAAACAAGTGGTACTAGAGAGAAGCTCCGACTGTGAAGGTCTGGGACTACATCTACTTGACAGCTACCCAACTTTCATCACTTCTGTGGATCCTGGTAAGTAAAGAGCCCTTTTTCAGACTTGTTCCTTTCTTATTTTTTTTTTCTACTTTGTATCCTCCAAAGGAGCCACACAGTCTGGTGAGACTGATGCAGGGGGGAAGTGACGAGAGGTTCTGGCAGATGTTTGAGACTCCGAGGAAAGGCAAGACGGACGTTTAATCAGAATGATACTGGCACCATTAGTATCGGAACTCTTCACTGGCTGCTGAAGATGGGAATGGAGCGCTTATGGGAATGCCCTGAGTGCTGTGATGTCGGTTCTTGAATCAAATCAAATCAAGGAGCATAGGCCCTTAACCCTTAAATGAGTCTCCTTCTGTCTAGTTGGAGGACAGCAGGGCCTGGGATTTCACTTATTCCAGTAGATTGAGTTAGTAACATTGACACACAAATGTTTATTGCCAGTCCAACAGTTGGCTTGACTCCATCTCTGTCTAACCACTGTGTATACCCAAAAGTATGTCGTGAGAGTCGACTAACTGGGAGCTTCTTTTGAAGTTGGAGTGCATCTGCCTTAGAGGCAAGGAACCAACAGTCTGCATACAAATGGGTCAGATATGCCAAACAGATGTGCATGCAACTCTCAGGTTCTGGAAGAGGACTAGGATCCAAAAGTGGACAAACAGAAGGTTTTGCTGGAGTTAAGAGCTCGTGAACATGAAGTAGAAGAAGAAGAAGTCACTTTACCTTTTTTGGACTTGTAACTGCCATTCACTCCTACTTGATGTCAGTCAATTGTTTACAGTAAGCATTCTCTTTCGACTCCAGTCATCAGCAAGCTTCCTTCATCCACTCGGCCATTCTTCTCACAATAACCGAATACTTAATCCTGATACAGACTATTCACGTTTCACACAAACATTTGATTTATTCCCCACAGCCAGATGCTCTTCCTCTCGCTGTCTCTCACAGAATGAATGTCCCTTCTCTCACACGTCAGCTTGTTCAGTCTTTCCCACAAGACTGAACCATGGATCACTCATCCCCATGGAAATCTCAGTTCCTGTTTAAATATGTTTTCCTTTTAATTGTTTCCGAGCTGGCCTTCAAACTCTTAAGCCATCCCGTTGGTGAACCTCTTTTGACCTCATGGATTTCCTACTCATTATACAACTTACACCACATCATCCTCTTCTGTGCTATTGCATACTGCTCACTCCATGCCCTGCATATATTTCTCTGTTTTTTTACATTTTTTAAGTGGGGGAAGGGGGTTCTGCCTTTATTCCTTTGATGCTGCTGGGTTCCATGCCCTCCACATATTTTTCACTTAATTCTCAAGTTCCTCTTCTCTGTGTTGAAAAATATTTTTTTTAACTTATACATTTTTTTTTTTTATTTGGCGGAAAGGGGAGGGATGTGGTCCACCTTTATTCCTTTGATTTTGATGCTGTGGGTTCCATTGTAAAGATATTTTAGTTATATTGTTATCAGTTTTCTCAGTGAGTGTCCTATCCAACACCAGCATCTTTTGGAAATATTTTAATAAGGAATCATTATTAGGAGCATCATATTAGTTGGTTTGAAAATCGCCTGATCATGCCACTGTCCTGTTCCCAGGTCTCAGCAGTTCTTTTCTACTCAGTGTAATTCTGTATATATTGTAACTGATTCTATATCCTTGCGTACATTGCTGTCTAAAGTTCATCATTTCGCTCATCTAAAATAGATTAGATCGATGAAGATTTGTATATCACAGCCTTGATTTAAATAAGGCACTAAAATAGTTACATTTTCATGTGGGTTAACACATTATAATAGCTACTCATGGAACAAAGTGTTTATAAAAATGTATTTTGTATAAGAAGTAACGATTAAATGCATGCTGAATTAATCAGGACTGAATGGGTTAACATTATCTAATTCTATATTTCTGAATGTGCAACCAGGCAGTGCTGCTGAGAAGGCTGGTATCAAGGAAGGACAGATTCTTGTGTCGGTTAATGACCTCAATGTGCTGGCTACCAGTCATGCTGATATTGTGAGGCTGCTACAGAGTTGTGAGTTCTACTTGTGTACAGACAGACATTGTCAAGAGTGCTAAGTTCTACTTGTGTACAGACAGACATTGTGAAGAGTTGTAAGTTCTACTTGTGTACAGACAGACATTGTCAAGAGTGGTGAGTTCTACTTGTGTACAGACAGACATTGTCAAGAGTTGTAAGTTCTACTTGTGTACAGACAGACATTGTCAAGAGTGGTGAGTTCTATTTGTGTACAGACAGACATTGTCAAGAGTGGTGAGTTCTATTTGTGTACAGACAGACATTGTCAAGAGTTGTAAGTTCTACTTGTGTACAGACAGACATTGTCAAGAGTGGTGAGTTCTACTTGTGTACAGACAGACATTGTCAAGAGTTGTAAGTTCTACTTGTGTACAGACAGACATTGTCAAGAGTTGTAAGTTCTACTTGTGTACAGACAGACATTGTCAAGAGTTGTAAGTTCTACTTGTGTACAGACAGACATTGTCAAGAGTGGTGAGTTCTACTTGTGTACAGACAGACATTGTCAAGAGTGGTGAGTTCTACTTGTGTACAGACAGACATTGTCAAGAGTTGTAAGTTCTACTTGTGTACAGACAGACATTGTCAAGAGTGGTGAGTTCTACTTGTGTACAGACAGACATTGTCAAGAGTTGTAAGTTCTACTTGTGTACAGACAGACATTGTCAAGAGTTGTAAGTTCTACTTGTGTACAGACAGACATTGTCAAGAGTTGTAAGTTCTACTTGTGTACAGACAGACATTGTCAAGAGTGCTAAGTTCTACTTGTGTACAGACAGACATTGTCAAGAGTTGTAAGTTCTACTTGTGTACAGACAGACATTGTCAAGAGTGGTGAGTTCTACTTGTGTACAGACAGACATTGTCAAGAGTGCTAAGTTCTACTTGTGTACAGACAGACATTGTCAAGAGTTGTAAGTTCTACTTGTGTACAGACAGACATTGTCAAGAGTGGTGAGTTCTACTTGTGTACAGACAGACATTGTCAAGAGTGCTAAGTTCTACTTGTGTACAGACAGACATTGTCAAGAGTGCTAAGTTCTACTTGTGTACAGACAGACATTGTCAAGAGTGCTAAGTTCTACTTGTGTACAGACAGACTGTGTGAAGAGTGGTGAGTTCTACTTGTGTACAGACAGACATTGTCAAGAGTTGTAAGTTCTACTTGTGTACAGACAGACATTGTCAAGAGTGGTGAGTTCTACTTGTGTACAGACAGACATTGTCAAGAGTGCTAAGTTCTACTTGTGTACAGACAGACATTGTCAAGAGTGCTAAGTTCTACTTGTGTACAGACAGACTGTGTGAAGAGTTGTAAGTTCTACTTGTGTACAGACAGACTGTGTGAAGAGTGGTGAGTTCTACTTGTGTACAGACAGACATTGTGAAGAGTTGTAAGTTCTACTTGTGTACAGACAGACATTGTCAAGAGTTGTAAGTTCTACTTGTGTGCAGACAGACATTGTCAAGAGTTGTAAGTTCTACTTGTGTACAGACAGACATTGTGAAGAGTTGTAAGTTCTACTTGTGTACAGACAGACATTGTGAAGAGTTGTAAGTTCTACTTGTGTACAGACAGACATTGTGAAGAGTTGTAAGTTCTACTTGTGTACAGACAGACATTGTGAAGAGTGCTAAGTTCTACTTGTGTACAGACAGACATTGTGAAGAGTGCTAAGTTCTACTTGTGTACCGACAAATTTTGTTGCTTGTTGCTTGTCATCCATATCGGCATCCTAGCACATTTGTCTGACCCATTCCTGCTCCGTCCTCTAGGCAAAAGATGAAACAACAGCATCTAGAATGGCCTCTCATTATTATCATTATTATTATTATTATCATCATTATTATTATCATCATCATTATTATTATCATTATTATTATTACTACCATTATTAATATTATCTACTAAATTATATATAAATGGAAAAGTGTATGAAAGAGTGAGGCCAAAAGGTACAGAATGTAAGATGGGCCTGTGTGCTCCATTCTTAACTCTTTGAAAATAAACTTTGTTCATGTTTTTATTCTTTGAAAAGAAATGATCAGCTTGTGCAGTTTATTGGAGAGAGAATACAAGAGATGTTTGCATATACCCCCCAACACCTTGATGAGGTAACTGGAGAAGAAGAAGAAAAACAACAAGACTCTGCATTTACACCAAATTTGAGCAGTTATTTTTTTGTTCATTAACTTCTTCTTCTTCTTTTTCTCTTCCACCTTGTACTTCGTCGAAGTGTCGGGGGGAGATGTAATGTTCGTTGATGGGCTCTGTCAAGAGCACTTTTAAGACTGATGTTCATTTCTGAAAGGCTATTCTTAATGCCATCACTCCATCTTTTCCAAGGTCTTCCACTCGCTCTATACCCGTTGTAACGTTTTAGTGTGGCTCGCTGTGGCGGATATTACCAGGGAATTCTTGTTAGGTGTCCAAACCACTTCAGTTGTTGTTCTTTGATGACCTGTAAGACTGGCTTTATTCATAGCATTCGTCTGATTTCATGATTTCGTATTCTGTTTTTCCTTGAAACTCCTGCAGCTCTTCTAAGGCATTTAATCTCTGTTGTCACAATTTTACGTTCATTGGAGGATGTAAGTGTCCACGTTTGGCATTGATAGCATAGTGTTGGCCAAAAAATTGTTCTGAAAAGATTCACTTTAGTACTCCGAGGTATCTGCTTGTGTGTCAACAGGGGAGATAGTTGACCCATTACTTGATTAGCTTTGGCACATCTGGAGCTAATTTCTCTGTCCAGTTTTCCGTCAGATGTAAAAATTGCTCCCAAATACTTAAATTTCTCTGTTTGTCTCAGGGTGTTGTTTTTTAATTTAATTTCTAAATTGTCTTTATGTCTTCCTATCATCATTGTCTCTTTCTTCGTAGTGTTTATTTTCATATTATATTCCTCCCCTTTGTTACTAATTTGTTTTAGGTGGTTCCGTAGGCATTCCGTATTTTCTGCTATGAGTACCTGGTCGTCGCCGAAAAGTAATTCTGTAATATCTTCTTCATGATTAAAGTTCATTTCGCTACATATGGTATCCATGTATGTTATAAAAAGAAGCGGCGAAAGTACACAGCCTTGACGCACACCAGAGTTCACTATAAAAGTTCTTGACAACCCTGCCTTCGATGTTATGCAGCATTTACTAAGTGTGTACAGGCTTTTGCAAATAATAATGAGATGATTGCTAATTCCTTTTTTTCCCCATACATTCCTACAACATATTCTTGTTGATTCTTTTGAAGGCTTTTTCTTGGTCTATGAATGTCAACAAACATGTCTTATCATGTTCTATTGCCCTCTCTGATAGTTGTCTCAATGTATAAATGGCATCTGAGCAACTTCTGTTTCGTCGAAAGCCCATCTGTGCTTCTGAAAGTTGATACTCTATCAATGGTCTCAGCCTTTTTTCAATGATCTTAGCATACATTTTCCCAGTGTGACTGAGAAGTTGTTCATTAACTAGTTGACTTATATTTAAGTAAGTTTTTCAATGTATGTAATAAACATAAATAAGCAGACAGGGAATCATTGAGGCCATAGAAACAGTATATATAATAAACAAATAAACGTGTATTAATGGACACTTATAGCAGGAAGTAGAAAGATAAAAGGACACACTATACAACAAAAATCACAAGCTATAGTTGTCGTGCTGGGAATTGAATCTGCCACCTCCAAATGATGACAGCGCCTTGCTGCAGGGCAAGTGTACTAGGATGCATGAGCAACTAGACACCCCTGAATCATTAACCATGTCTGTCATAAGCTTCACCCCAAAACTATAAAATACGGACAGAATCTATCTCACACCATTGAAACATCAATCAGCCAATCAGCATGTTTGTCTCACACCATTGAAACATCAATCAGCCAATCAGCATGTTTGTCGCACACCATTGAAACATCCATCAGCCAATCAGCATGTTTGTCTCACACCATTGAAACATCAATCAGTCAATCAGCATGTTTGTCTCACACCATTGAAACATCAATCAGACAATCAGCATGTTTGTCGCACACCATTGAAACATCAATCAGCCAATCAGCATGTTTGTCGCACACCATTGAAACATCCATCAGCCAATCAGCATGTTTGTCTCACACCATTGAAACATCCATCAGCCAATCAGCATGTTTGTCGCACACCATTGAAACATCCATCAGCCAATCAGCATGTCCTTTACAGAGTGTAGCTCTCTTCACAATACGCCTGAAAGTCTTTCTTTCTCTCACCAATTCTCCAGCTCTTTGTGCTTGCATAGACTGCATCTTCAATGTCCTGTATCCACCTTCTGGAGGTTGGCCTCCATCACCTTTCTCTCCAGACCACCATGGTGCTTGTCCTGTCTAAAACACACTCAGCTTTCAGGAAAGGATGCTGTTCACCAGCCAGTTCTCCTTGATGTTCAAGTCATGCAGGTAGTCTGGGGTTTTCTTATTTTTTATATTCTAAGAATTTTTTGTAGCGTAGGTTACACAAGTTCAAAATATATCGATGTATGCTTCATGTATCAACCTACAGTTGAAGGAAGTGTGAAGCTCTGTGTCGCTAACAGTGACTTTCAACCGGTGCGCAATCTTCAAGCCACTGTCATGTCAGGGTACATGCACAAGCTTTGCAACTCAACATTCAGGGTGTGGAAAAACAGATACTTCATACTTCGACAGGACAACTGCCTGTACTACTACAAAAACCATCAGGTGAGAACAGCTAGAGAATAAACATTGTTAATATGTGCTTATGGTTTTGTTTGTTATAAACTACTACAAAAAAAATTGACACTGAAAGGAAATAATTTTGTCATCATTTTGACATTCAAAATCTTTATTATTTAACGAGTGGAATTTTTCAAATTGCACACAAGAATACCTTAAGATTGACCAATCAGTAACAGTTCTTTTGCATCTGGGTCATCAGTTGTTTTTCAATGTATGGTTTTCCTGTCAACTGATAAAAACTTGCCATCGGATTTAATAATGCTTTTTTTATAACAGTAAAATATTCTTATTTCTCTTCCTTCTTCTCCTTCCCTTCTTCAGTCTTCTTCTGCTCAAATCGCCGTTTGGAGCATGATCCCTCAATTAACTCATGCTAAACAATTACATCTTTAATATTTTCTGCAGCTCATCCAGTATTGCTTCTGTGGCTTAGGCGTTGCCAATGAGCTTCGTAATGCCATGGTGCCGGGTTTGATTCCAGCTGCGGGCCTTGCTTTGATTTCGACAGTGGTATCCAGAAGCTGACCGTCCAAAAAGAATTAGCTAACTGTTAGGCATAAATTTGTCTAGAAAAGCCACAACAACCAAAAAAATGCTGGGATTGGTTCTGCAAAGTCCTGTAAAGGATACGCAACTAACTAACATCCAGTATCACAACTGTCTTATTAAATTCTGAAGATTTTCAATGGTAAAAGGAGGTAGGTCAGCTACCCAGGCATCTTTCAGCTTACTTTATAAGAGCTGACAGACATTTCATTTTGCCAGTTAGAGTTGCGGATGTTGCCCGCTGACAGCAACTGTTTGACTGGAGTAATATCACCTATGGGAGGTTTTTGTGTGCCAACAGACTGTTATTCTTTTTCTTCTTCTTCGGGTTCACCAGCTGTAAACTCTGGCAGAGGTTCTAGTTGCTCGTCCACTACTGAACTGCAGTCCTGCTCCAGAAGCTGAGTGTTGCGTGTGCATCAGTTTTACAGATCTCATTCTCTTGAATACAGACTGTTGGTTCCTTGCCTCTCCGGCAGATGCACTCCGACTTCAAAGGAAGCTCCCCAATTAGTCGACTCTTACGACATGCTTTTGGGGAGGCAGTGGGTCTATTCTTGTTTTCCCCACAATGGGACCCCGGAACTCACACGGGGGAGACTGTTATTAAATCCAGCAGTAATTGGAGGACCAAAGACCACTGCTGAGATAGATAAGAGCCTATTTACAAGGCAAGAAAAATCAGGTGGGATGAGTTTTTCCCACAGCAGTGGGTATTTAGTGGCATCTGTTGTGTCACAGGTGAGTGCCTCATGTTCTGTGTTCTAGATAGAATAGCATTGATGCTTCTGCCGCTTATAATCACACACATTTAGCCTGGCCCTTAGAATGATCTCCTTTTCAAGACCACATTCCATAGCCATAGAATATTGGACTGCTCCAAGAAATCCATGATTCCCTTTGTTTAGAGTAAATAAAAACTAAAATACTAAATTGTTTAATATACTCAGGACTTTTTTCTTCTTTTATCTTTACTGTAGGGTAGAAGAGGAACAAGAATGAAGGCAGGAAAATAATGAAGGAAGAAAGAAAGTAATGTTACTAAGATGATAGCTAACGTTTTTTTAAAATTCCTTTATAATTCAGGAGACTGACCCACTAGGAGCTTTTCCATTGGGGGGATACACAATCTGTCGTCACACAGAACCTAATCGAGAGTTTTGTTTCAAAGCAGACAAGTTTGGAGGAAGGAGTTACTATTTTAGTGCAGACAGTCGAGACCAAATGACAGCGTGAGTTGTGCCAAGTTGTCCTTTCAGTTCTCCATTAAATGTGACTCTTGGAGTGTAATGGTGTGAATTCCCGGGAAAATCCAAGAGAGTTCCCATTTGGGGGGATAAGGTCAGAGGACCAGTGAAACCAGACGAAAGTGTGGAAAGCATGTCTTGAGTATCCCGTGGTGAGTGAATAGGGATACGAGGAAAGCGTGAGACTTGAACGAAAGGTGTGAACCCAGAGAGGATAGGAAGTCAGTTGAAGTTTGGACCTGGATGTGTGCGGTCAAATGCAAGAGAACAGCAGATTGTCTGACCACATGTAATTGTGCGAGAGCAGAAGTGAATGTCTACTGACTGCAAGTCTTGACCGTGTACAGGTACAAGGAATAAGAAGTTAACCTGATCCAGATGTATGATCTGAAAGGTAATGGCAGAGAGAATCACAGGGTGAGATAGTTGGAAGTGTTGTCATTAATCAGCCATGCGTTGCAACCACGAGAACACAAGTGAGTAACTGGACAGTGCGGTTGTTGAAACAGCGAGTAAAGATCAATAACAGTGTGTTTGTCATCTGGTGTATTTCTAGTACCTTCATGTAACAAAGAAAGTCAGTATAGCAATGTGACGAATGCAATCAAACCCTAGGCAGAGCCACATTGCACGGGAGTGCAGTTAAACCCTAGACAGAGCCTCATTGCACAGGAGTGCAATCAAACCCTAGACAGAGCCTCATTGCACGGAGAAAGGATTTTCAGTATTATTGATGATAAGATTTGTGAACTTGGAAAAATAAAGTTTTGTTGTAAAATTTTAAAAAAAAATTTATTTTAGCAAACAGTACAGGACTTTTTCATGCAATTGGTGGGGTGCTTCATACGTCTTCTGATCATGTCATCACTCTGCTGTCTTCCTCATCAATCAGGCTAGTCAGTCCAAAGATTAATGTTAAAGTTGCCTGATCATGCCACAGCATTGACCTCCTCCTCCTCCTTTTCCTCCTCCTTCTCCTCCTCACCATCAACTAAGTTAGTCAGTCCAAAGATTGGTTTTGAAGTCATCTTTCATGTCATCATCTGCTCTACGCAGTTTTCTCCTGCTCTATGCAACTTCTTACATACTTGTCTGAGCTGTTTCTTGTGCATATTTTTTATTCATTCTTCAAATCTTTATAAAGATGTGCATTCAATGTCTGCTGAACACTAGACCAACAAGCTTTCTGTTTCACTTTATACTGACAGTCTTCATGTTTTACATTAAACCAACAGTCTTTATATTTTAGATTAGAATGGCAATCTTTATGATTTACATTGAACAGCCAGTCTTTCTCTTGTACATTGAACTAGCAATCTTTATGTTTTACATTAGACTGACAATCTTTCTGGTTTTCTTTAGACTGGCAATCTTTGTGTTTTACATTAGACTGACAGTCTTTCTGTTTTACATTAAACTGACAACCTTTCTGTTTTACATTAGACTGACAATCTTTATGTTTTACATTAGACTGACAACCTTTCTGTTTACATTAGACTGACAGTCTTTCTGTTTTACATTAGACTTACAGTCTTTCTATTATACATTAGACTGACAACGTTTCTGTTTTACATTTGACTGACAGTCTTTCTGTTTTACATTAGACTGACAGTCTTTCTATTATACATTAGACTGACAACGTTTATGTTTTACATTTGACTGACAACCTTTCCGTTTTACATTAGACTGACAGTCTTTCTGTTTTACATTAGACTGACTGTCTTTCTATTTTACATTTGACTGGCAGTCTGTCTGTTTTATATTTTCTCAACAGTTGGGTGGGAGCCTTGTCTGAAGCATCATTATGTTCTGTGAAGAAAGTAAGTAATAGTTTTTTTTGTGTGTGCTCAGGTGGAGGCAGTCTAAGTGGGTATTAGAAAATGCCAGGGAAAGAAAATGCAGCCATGATAATGTTGAACATAACTTGTTCAGCGTAGATTGCTCTATAAAAATTTGTCTTTAGCACCATATGGTTGAACACAGCCTTAAATTGCTGTAGGACGTCTGGTCTATAGAAATAGTGGTCAAGTCTCGGATACCTGATGCGCCAGCGGCATGTAAAGGAGCCTTGACGTAAATTTTACTTAACATATACATGAAGCACAAAACTCAGAACACTTACGTATTCGAAAGAGCAGGTGTTACAACAGTTATCTGAATGCTCAGTCTTCAGAAGCTTCAGGTGGCTGGGTCACACTTGGAGAATGTAGGATGGTAGTCTTTGATATGTTTAAGTACTTGGGTACCCTGATAACATCAGATGGACGGGGTATTAAAGAAGTTAAATGTAGAATAGCTCAAGCAAAGGCAGCATTTTAAAATATGAAGAAAATTTTCTGCAATCTTTCCTTGTCAATTGAGACGAGAAAGAAAATTCTTAAAAGCTACATAAATTATATCCCGATACAAGGAAGTGAATCATGGACAGTTGGTAGATTAGTGAAAACTTATTTGGAAGCTGCGGAGATGTGGTTTTATAGATGGATGATGGAAATACTCTGGAAAGATAGAAAGAGTAATGAAGACGTCTTGAAAGAAACTCACACACGAAGGGAACTGATTGCCCACATCAGAAAGAGACAATCTAGATTCTTTGATTAAGTGATGAAAAGGAGAAAACTGGAGTACATCATTAAGGTAGGAAAGTTGGAGGGGAGGAGAGGCAGAGGGAGAATGAGAGAACAGATGCTGGACAGTCTGACATCATGGCATGGAGGATCATCTGTATCAGAGTTGATTGAAAGTACACGAGACAGAATGTCATGGTCCCCGTGTGGGTTCCGGGGCCCCATTGTGGGGAAAACAAGAATAGACCCATGCCTCCCAAAACATGTCGTAAAGAGTCGACTAACTGGGGAGCCTCCTTTGGAATTCGGAGTGCAATCTGACCGGAGAGGCAAGGGAAACCAGCAATCGGTATTCAAGAGAATGAGATCTGTAAAACTGAATGCACATGCCAACCATCAAGTTCTGCAGCAGGACTGGCAGTTCAGAGTGGACGAGCAACCAGAACTTTCCCACCAGAGTTTCAGCTGGTGAACGGCAAAGAATGAAGAACCGAAGAAGAATGTCATGGCTAGACCATGGATCCATTTGCAATGCAGCATGGACTTTGAACAGAAGAGAAGAAGAAGTGGGAATTCACAAAGGAAGAAACCGTAAACACATGACTGTTTTCTTGGGATCAGAAAGAGTTGACATAAACTGATGCTGCACTGGCGTCAATTACCAACTGTACGTTTGCTTCTTATTTGGGCAGAAAAGGATCCCTCCTGATTGTCAGAAGCCATAATGTAGGAAATTCCCGCTCTCCACAGTTCCTGAACCCTTGAATGTGCTCGGATTTTAGGCAAACTGAGTCCCAGCACACGTGCCTGGTGGCGGCGCTATTGTGTGCTCAAAGATGCTTGTGTCTACTACTACAAAGATAAGAGCTCTTTCAGTGCTCTAGGTAAGTTTCGTGTTAAAGTTGTTTTTAAAAAATCTTACTGAAGGTAGGTTTTGGGTACTTTGTTTGGGAGGGGGGGGGGGGGAATGGTGTGCGGAGCGGGTATGTTTTTGTATGTGTGTGGCTTAGAGATGAGTGAAACAGTTTCACAGTGCAATACTTCACGTTTACCAGGGTTTGATTCTCACAGTAGGCGGTGTAGAAAAAGACTGTGCTCGCTGCTTTCACACCGTGGTACAAGATATTGGAAATAGTACCATATTACACACAGACAAATATAGAATATTCCCCTAGTTAGCAGTGGTTACACACACACACACATACAAGCACACACACACACACATACAAGCACACACACACATCAGCACGCACCCGCGCACATGCTCACACGCACGCAGAGAGAGAGAAAGAGAGAAATACACACACATACATACATCTTTTTAAAGTAGTTGTCATATTGATTCATCTGCTTGCTTGTGCACAGGTGTCATACACTTGCATGGCTATACAGTGGATTCAGAGAACTACCCACGAAGAAAGTTTAGCTTCATTTTGCAGCCACCGGAACAGAAAATGAGGGTGTTTGCCTTCAGTGCAGACAATGAGACAGACAAACTGAGGTAAGTCTTTGAGAGAAGAACCAGAACTTGGTGCTTAGGTACCCCCTAACAATAAATGTGGGGGAGGGGCGGAGGGCTGGGTGTTGCTGGCGAACTAATCGACTTCCCTCCCCAACCATATATAGATTTATAAGATTGTTTATATTTACACTGTCAAATATATTATTAAATTTATTTGTCATTCCAGCTGTTTAATTATTATTATTATTCAGCACTTAACAAAAACTTATTTTGATGACATTGGGTGTTTTTCCTTTTGTTTCTATGCACAGCTGCAAAAAGCTTTTCTTATGCATCTTTCATTGGTCTCTCGTCCTGTCTCTTTGGCTGGTATTTTTTTAATACTTGTGCAATTTCCAACTTCTGCTAACCCTCATTCTTCTCACTAGACCATGCTATGTGGCGATTGGTAGACCCCATGTCCTATCCCATAGCATGCCTGTTCTCCATTTACTTTTATCAGTTTTTGACACTGGATGTATTCTTTTCCATACCTTGTGACGTTGGTAATGATTTTCTGTCCACAACATTCGTGCAGACCAGACCATACTTTTCAATAAAATCCCGGCTCACTTGGTCATTTTCCCTCGCGGCTCCTGCATATTCCGGACTATTTCCTATGTGCGTTCCTATATTTTTTAATGTGCTGATGCTAGGTATCCCAATCATGCCCACATTTTGTCCATTTGAAACTTCTTGCAAGTATGAGCTAAGAAGCAGACCCTATAATGTTGTCAGAACAAGACTCTTTGTTTTCTGCTATCCACTTCATATGATGCCATGATTGCAGGAATAGACCCACCTCCATCCTCAAGCTTGAAGTGGTAAATAATAAACAACTGGGATATTGCTGGTTTTTTAAATGTAAAAAGCCCCCCAAAAAAAATTGTATCTGATTACTGATAAATTATATGAGGTTTCTTTGTTTGAAATTTAAAAATAAAATTGTTGACTGGCTTATATGCAAGGGGC